CCGGTACTATAAAACTCAAATCCATTAGTCCGAAGGGGACTTTAAAACTCAATTGAACAAACAATAGTTTATATATTTTTGTTGTCGAGGGGGAATGTCATCCGGTCTGGATCGACAAACTAACCTATATATATATATATATATATATATATATATATATATATATATATATATATATATATATATATATGTTAGCTATATTACTAATAATCTTATGCTAAACGCCTAGACGGCTGGTCATTTGACCTTGAAAGACAGAAAGGACGAACTCTAGTTGAAATAAGAAACAGAGTTGAATTAATGGTATCTGTCAATTAGTTGTTTTATATCACTCCGTCTTAGAAAGAAGCTTTATCGATCCAGTCGAAATCAAGGATCAGAACGCCGTATTCTCCAAAATGACACCCTCCAAACTACTTTGGGTGGGGGGATAATAACTTGGTCCAAAAATTGTCATAAAAATTTTCAAAAGATATCATTTAATTTAAAAGAAACTGTTTTGAAAGATTGCCATCAAGAAGTTTGGTCTACTACAACGTCTCTGAGCTCAAAAGAAGTAAGTCACTGATTGAGAGCCGTTTACACATGTAGTGCCACCGGTAGCCTTTTCTCATGCTTCTAAACGATAAAGAAGTTATTTTGCCCATAGTGGAAAAAATATTCAGGAAAATAATAAGTATGGAGAAACTGAATACTTCAAAAAACACAAGTACGATAACTTTACTAGCTCGAATTTCTTATCGAATCGACTCAAGGTTTTTGTGTTTGCAGACTCTATAAAACTGTTGAGATAAATTTTAATTTCATTGAAAAATATACTTCTAAATATATTTTTAGTTTCATTGAAAAATCAATTGCTAATTATTTCAAAAAAAATTGGAAAATAATTGTGGTAAATAATAAAATATTATATTGACAAGCAAGTTGAATGTTTCCGTTTTTACTTCTTTACTGAAACTGTCAAAACAAAACTCACTCGGAAGTTCGTGAGGGTTAGTAGGGCGAGCCCATTTGGATAAGAAGTGTTTTAGTTTCTCTCTCAAAAGTTACGCTATTTTTATACTTTTGTTCAAAGTTTTTTAAATCTTTTAATTTTTAGATGAATCGTATTTAGATTTGGTTTGGATGTCATTTCGTTTGCTCGAACTCAATACTAGCTTCTAAAACCCCTTTTTTATGTGAAAAGATCTTAACCATATGGTTTCACTAATTTTAACCGTATTTTCAACCATCTGGATTTCTAAAAAGTACATATGTCCGAGTTAACGAAATCTAAGTTTTTCGAGCGCTCTTCTGTTGCTTCCGTTCCTTCTGTATCTTTTGTCGATTCGACTTCGGTTGTCTTCTTGCTCTCTCAATCTCTCAATCAATTCCAAGTAAATAATCTTTTTGACCGTCTTGATTCTCTCTATTCGGGCTGAATCTTGGAGACACTAGATCTACAACGACTGTGTTTTTGTTTTCCGGTTTTGATTTTATGTATACCATACAATTCACGCGTGCTTGGTAATCCGGTGACTTTTCGTTGAATCTCATCTCGTGAATTTGACTTTTCATATTCGAGTTGTTTTACTCTGTTTGCTTGTCGATTGATGAATCAAGGCGAATCGTTTTTTCATAGCCTCGGCTGATTTGGGTTTGGTTTTTCATTTGTACCAATTGATAAGGAATTGACTGCAGCTCCTGCCAACGCCAATTGGTGGTTTCTCGCATATTTCATAATTGCTTCTGCCACGACAATAGGTGAAAAGGTGGTTGAGACGGCTTTTTTGATTTAACCTCTTCAGAGACGAGTCAGTGATTTCGGATTTAGAAGACTAGTTCTCACTCAAAAAGATGCACTGTTCTAACGTTTCGTTTTTCTTAGGTGTGGATGCGTTTATTTCCTTTGACATCTCCGATGCGAATTACATCTCTCTTGATTTTTTTGTGCTGGCTTTCTTCTTGTCCTATTTTTGTTTGTTTTCTTTTTCTGTTCTTCCGGTTTTCCTGTGCCTGCTCCAGTTTCTTTTTCCTGGACAGCCTTCTTGGTAGTCCTGTTTTCAGGTCTTCCCTAAAGATGGAATGTTGTGGCGCGTTTGGCTCTTCAATGTCTAAAAAACACGGTCCCGTTCTCCCCCAGAATTTCTATGAATTTTCAGCCGCTTAGTCGTGAGGGTCTCCAGGGTCAATAAATCCCTGGAATAGGCACCAATGCTAATCCGCTACTTTCTAGCACCCTTGGCTGTTTACGTCCCAGGGTATGAACCCAAGCTGTGGGTTTTGTGTAAATTAGGTTTTTTTCAGTACGTAGTTTTTTGTTTTGCTCAAATGTTTTTGGGTCTTCTACTTTTGTGATTACTCTTACTGTTTTCCTGCCACCTTTTCTATCCGTTTTTGCATCTACCTGGCCTTGTATCCCTTTGTATCTTGATTTAAGAACTAATCTCTTTAGCAATTGCCCGCCTATTCATCACACATGTGTCCTGTTGTAGTTTTTGCGCTGATGCAACTTATTTGTTAATTATCCGCTCTGGTAGTCGATGTGTTGGCCGCCATTTTCCCACTATTTCGTTATCTGACCAAGGTGCATTAGTTCAGCATGAAACGGTGAGTGCATCAGATTCTTTTACTTTTTCCCAACACATGCGTGCTTTCCTTTTTTTCAATTTACATAAGTTGCTGAGCTTGTTTTAGCTTTATTTCATAATAGTGTGTTTGGGTTTCGCCAGATGTGCGCTTCCAGTGATGAAGTTTTTTTTCTACTTCAAGCAGATTCATTCGAAAGTTGTGGATTATCTCAGCTAACGTATAAAGTTTGTTATTTTTGTCTATTCTCGTAACTTCTAATCTAGTTCTCACACTTTATGATTTGTATTATTCCCTCGATTACACATTTTTACCTTTGTTGTCTATGGGGGCAAATTTTTAGATTATGCTAATTAATTTATCCTGTTTTAAAAATTTTTGGCTCTGAGTTTTTTCAGCTTGTTCACATCCTAACTTATGTGAGATGCCGTTATTTGAAGAATATCATTGCTTAGGTTTCCTAACAAGGTTTGCTTTAGTGTTAGGTACCACTTTAGCCGTTGGAAACTATGGTCATTTATGTATGACTACGAGTATATAAGCGTCTCCGCTTAGATGGTCTGGGAGTGGTCCTGAGTTCTCTTTGAACCTCCTCATTAGGTTCGATTATTGGTTTCATTAGAAATAATGGTTTTTCCTTTAACGGGTTTTAATTTTTACCTTTGTTTGGTACCATGTCGGCAGTTTTTTGCCGTCTGGACAATTGATCTTTGGATATGAGGGAACCAGATGAGTTAACAGACCGGATCCTGGGTAACTGAGTTGGATTCTTTCCAAAAATGTTTGTCTCAGTTCTGGTGGGAGGTTCATCTATTAAAAGGCGGTCGTCACGAACATATACTCTCTTCCGGATGTTGAATCAGTTTTATCCGTTGGTCCAGTTGAAAGCTTCCCAGTTTTGATTTTTTTATGAAGTTCAGTATTGGTCTCAAGTTCCAATCTTTCCTTGCGGCGGCTACTATAAATGCGAACCTCCAAAATTTTCGGTAATTTTCATCTGCAGAGAGGTGTCTCCCTTCTAACTCTGTTTATTCCTCAGTCAATTGTGGCAAAAGCTGCTCGTAATCTATTCGTGGCTTGCCGCTAAATCTTGTCAAACTGAATGTACTTACTGTTATTGTCGGTGGAGCTTCGTTTGGTGTTAATTATTCCTGCTGATCTTTTGTGAGATCTCCGCAGAATATTCAAATAGTTGTATACTTCTCGTACTTCTAATGTAAGCCCGCTAAGTTTTGATCTCTTTGTCGCATTTTCCAGTCTGAGCAACCAACTCGTGGTACTCGTAACGTATCTGTATGGCGGCGGATTTGTTAATTTGTTTTTCCTTTTTCAAAATTTTTTATTATCAAATTTCAGTTTAAAGGCCCTTTTGAGAGCTGAAGAGTTCAGTACAACAAAACAACTTTCCTGTTTCCTTTTAAATTTAGGTTATTTCTTCTTTATTAGGGTCGTTTTTCGACATTTGATACTTGGGAATTTTTTACTAATAGTTCTGACCGCTGCAACAACGTTATTATTGAACTTCTGTTTAAAGGTTGTTTTTCATGTTTATCGAGAACTGTTATATTCATGACTCTAAGAAACTTGATTTGTCAAAGCGAGTAATAGCCATAGAGACTATGCTGTCCCACATGCAAAACGCTGAGGTGACACCAATACCGTTTTGCTCTGCTCTTATTACGACCTCCGTAACAGAAGGTCCATCAACGCTATAAATTGGTTGCTGCTTTTAGGACAAAATTTTCTTCGCAAATTTTTTCTTGCGTCAAGTATTTTGCCTTTCTTGAAAAACATTTTGCCTTTCTTGCGTCAGTGCCACCTGGTAGAACGTGACATGAATTTTTATCAACAAGCAGCAAAATATCACACCTGCAGCACTCATTCATTAAAAAATAATTGTATTAGTTTTTCTTGTTCTTCAGTTCAGGTTATAGCTTTGCAGAATTTCGGTTAAACATCATTCTTATACCCTCGTCTCAATTTTACTCACCGAGACCCCCTTTTGCTTTTTATCAAAAACTGCACCAGTTTGCTATAGGGTAACTGTTAATTGGCTTCATAGTTCTTTGAACAAGAAAGTTGGCGGTAGAATTATAGTTAATAAGAACAAAAACTGTTAGGCAATGTTCGACCCCCTGCCGAGTCAAAGGGTCACCCGTTGTACTATTTTGTGATATCCATTTTTTGTTGACTGACCCCAAAATTTTCTAAAGACTCCTTCGGCGCCAGTATGTACTAACTTTGGAAGGCGCCAAAAAAACAGAATTTTTCGGTCAGAATGTTCCAAAAAAGCTTGAAAAAGCCCGTTTTTTGTGCACAAAACAGGGTCTTTAAAAGCGTTTGAGAGAGGTCAGAAAATCAATCTTTTTTCAAAATCTGACTCCCCCCTCAAGAAAACCCTAGATACACTCCTGACGTGATGTATGTTTAAGCTGAATTCACTACAGACATACGCGATGACTGCAGGATGAAAATTATAGTAATCGGAGAAACTGGCACAGGAAAAAGTACATTCTGCAACATACTAGCGGGTGAAGAACACGATTCGCATCTATTCCCGACATCTGCGGCGTCTACCTCGTGCACCCAAGTAACACGTTTCGCGCAATCGTTTTTCATGGGCGACCAAGGTAAACCCATCGATATCATCGACACCATAGGGTTCAATGATCCGACGAACGAAAATGACGCTTTCATAATTGCGGACTTAGTTGCGAAACTCAACAAGAATTGTGATTACATCAATGTTGTCGCAATTATACTGAATGGCACAAGGGCGAGATTCGAGAGATCACTGATAGGAATGTTGCGCATATTTCATGAAATGTTTAATAAGGATACATTTTGGCATCATGTAATTTTAATTTTCACACACATGGGTATGGACAAAGACAGTGTGGACAAAAGAAAAAACGCGAACAAAGGAAACTCGGACGATGAGCGGTTGGAGGATTACATTGGGGTGCTCGCAGAACAATTTTCCAATGCCAAAGGAGCCAGCTACCTCACAATTGACTGTCTCTGGAACAAAGATAATGCTGATGAAAAAGAGGCGTTTGTCAATTCTATGAACGAACTCTGGGATCGAATCCAAAAAGCAAAACGACTTACAACCAAAAATGTTACAGAAGTAGAAATTTCAAATGAGAAACTACAAAAAATGATAGCCGAGGAAGTGGGGAAACTGGAAGAACAGATGCAAAAAAAGTACGTTATTTGTTTCCGATAAATTTTTCTGTTTTTTGATCTCGAGGCTCGTTGAACTTGGATTCAGGGCCGCTTTCACCAAATGAGATTATAAATTAGTGTCATCGTGGGCAAAGCGGAGATAGGATTCTATCGATAGGGGAATCAAATTTTTCAGCTAGTTTGTTCCAGAAACCAGAAAAACAGGCTTGAGCTTTCACTCTATTTTGACGCTCTCTGGGCACTTTGATATATAAACAGAAAATTGCTAAAATGGTTTTTTTTTATTAAAACCCTACATTATCCCAGAAAGTTGAAGCAGTTAACCTCACTTTTTGGTCATTATTGTGTTGAGAGTTTCTGCAATCAAGATCAAATAAACATTGTTGATGTTAGTTTCATGGCCATCGGGAGAAATTTTTTAGAAGAATTGTTGTTCCGACTTTTAAAGAAAAAGCAGAATTCCCGAAGCTCAAACTATAAATATTTCTTACTGTGATCATTTTTCATATGTGTCCTTTGAGATAAATAACTCGCAATATGTTGCGTTTTTATAACATGCGCAACCGGCAAATTAATGCGTTCCAATTTGAATTGCGGCAAGCTATTTGACCTTGGTATTAGAATAGGATACGCTAATTTTATCTGTTGTTAATTTACTTTTGTTTGTGGGGAAATGAATCGAAGAAAACGCATTAGAAAAAAAAACTTAGAAAAAGCATTAAAAAAATGACCTCACTTGGAAAAAATAAATTTTTAAAATTTATTAATCCTACTTTCGAAAAAAAGTGACGTAATATTTCGGCTAGGGTGGTTTTTTCTCCACTCGATATTTTACAGTTTTTGATTTTTCAATTTTTGTCGGAATTTATGAAGATCATTCAAAAAGTATTGCTGTCTTGAGCTCAAATCTTAAATGATAATTCACCTGTGATTACTTTTCGTGAAACTAAGAGACTTAAAGATTTTGTCGTTTAGTCTGCTATGACCTCACTTGGAATGTTTGGTCGATTTTTTTTCATTCAGTCAATTTTCGACTTTTTAGCAAAGCGTTTTCGACGGAAATTTTTTGTACTCTCTAAAAATTATTTTTGCCCAAAGCTCAAACTATAAATATTTTTTACTGTGATCATTTTTCATATGTGTCCTTTGAGATAAATAACTCGCAATATGTTGCGTTTTTATAACATGCGCAACCGGCAAATTAATGCGTTCCAATTTGAATTGCGGCAAGCTATTTGACCTTGGTATTAGGATAGGATACGCTAACTTTATCTGTTGTTAATTTACTTTTGTTTGTGGGGAAATGAATCGAAGAAAACGCATTAGAAAAAAAACTTAGAAAAAACATTAAAAAAATGACCTCACTTGGAAAAAATAAATTTTTAAAATTTATTAATCCTACTTTCGAAAAAAGTGACGTAATATTTCGGCTAGGGTGTTTTTTCTCCACTCGATATTTTACAGTTTTTGATTTTTCAATTTTTGTCGGAATTTATGAAGATCATTCAAAAAGTATTGCTGTCTTGAGCTCAAATCTTAAATGATAATTCACCTGTGATTACTTTTCGTGAAACTAAGAGACTTAAAGATTGTCAATTTGGGACAATTAATGCGTGACATGTTTTGTACGATTAATATGTAAGCGGAGATTTAATACGCAACGTTCCTTATTGAAATGAGGCGGACTATTCAGTACTTTTTTGTATACTAAATATATTACTTTGTACTTTGCATGGTCTGTAGGGGGACTAATTTCAAAAAAAATATATATCAAACTTTGAGTTTACTTAAAAGTTTTATCTATTTTTTTAAGACCAACAGTTTTTCACTGACCGGAATTGAAGGCAGTCGGAACATTCAGGGCTTCGTCCTGATACGAGTCATTTTGTTAATTTTAACTCTGAATTGTGTGACAATGGAAACCTGTGTTTGTACTGAAAGCGTTTTATGCCACCAAAACTAAATCAAGGTGAGGGATTCTCCATTTTTTCCAGCCAATTCAATCCTTTTAATGGCAGTTTTTGTTTCAGTTTCATTTTCCTTTAGACCAGATTTGAACATGTTTGGGTTAGCCTGCTAGTAATTCTTCTTTCAAATCATATTCTGCAAGAATGTTTATCGAGCGCTAGTTGGCACATTTAGACGACAAGACATCAAAACAGGGTGCTGCCGTCTGGTTGGTTGCCTGTTTACCAAACTGTTGGAACGCAAACCTTATAACAAAAGCCTTGAAAGTAAAGTGCTAATTTAAAATAAACGGACAAAACGATTAATTTTCAGGAGTGTTTTTCTCAAACTGGGTTAGACACAAAATGAAGAGAATAAAAGGTTGCTTAAGAATTTCATCACAATTTTCCGAAATTCACAACCAAAAAATTACCTCAAAAACAGGTAATTTTGGCTTTTGTAGTTAATCAGCAATTGGGCTGAAAAACGTTTTGCTATTAGATGAGACATTTATATCACAAGGAGACTCTTACACTTACCAACAAAGTTCTAGTAAAATTTCAAACTTATTTTTAACAAAAACTTTGTGCTTTGTATTTTATATAGTAGAAATCACATTTCTTGACTATCAAACGAAAGTATTTTCTTTTATAGTTGTTTTTGGAGATTTAACTCATCTAGAAAATAATGTTTGGCTGTGTAAGATCCTTCATGTGATTTAATTTTCTCAATTTTTAACAAAATAGTTTCAGCATAATTTTTGTTTGATTAAAAAAGCCGAAATGACCCAAGCTTGCAATATATTTTTGGCTGAAAATTTTGTCAAACAATTGCACCATATCAATTTTGGTGAAATTTTGAGTACCCTATACTTTAGTTTGTAACCAATTTGAGAAAAATGCATTCAAAAATTCAAGTTTTTTTCGTTTCGTCTGGATAACCTAAATCAGCACTATTTAATATCATTTTCTTTTTTAATTTTCATCTAAAGCAGCCGTCATTCTGTTTCAATTAGACTGGTTATAATGTTTAAAAAAATACTCTTCATTGGAAACTTACTAGAATTGTGCAAAACTGATCGGCTCCCTGATCTCAAAAATTTGAAAAAATCATACTATAAAAACCAAAAAATTTGATTTTTTTTGGGTCGGCCAAATTGGTTTTCCGAGCTCTCCTAAAACACTAAAATGACGCTGTTTTGGCCAAAGTTTCTGCGCCGCATGCTAATTTTGAAAAAAAAACAGGTCAAAAGGCGGTTTTTGGGCACTTATTGGAAAAAGGTGACAAAAAATTGAGTTTTTTTTGGCTGGAGCTCCCCCTCGAAGTTAGTATATATTGGAGCCGAAGACGCTTTTAGAAAAAATTTAGGGTGGTTCGGCCAAAAACGGCTTTTTTTAAGTACCAAAGGGGGACCCTTTGGTTCAGCAGGGGATCAAATCCCTGAGAAGGGAGGACCTGACACCCCCCCCCCCCCCCCCTAAATCCGCCCCTGTGAATGAGCATTCTCATTTGGTAGTAATATAAACTTCACCCGGATTTTCATATATTACCAAATATACAGGATAAGAATCAGTCTATTGTCGTCATTACGAGGTTAAAATGTGCACTGGAAAGGCGCAAAATTTTGTGTGTGTATGTTCCATGATTCCAGAGACAAATCTTAAAACATGTTCCAAAAAGTAAGTGGATTCCACACACAAAGATTCCAGATTCCGTGGATTCCGCGTACAAATATCTGTAACGTAGTTTTTGTCGGCACATTTGTTTTGTTGCGGATTCCGCAACTAGCAAATATGGCTAAATGTTCTGGATTCCGCAACTGTAAGTGGATTCCGCGAGATGTAAGTGGATCCGCAAAATGTAAGTGGAATCCGCAAATCTAAGTGGATTCCGCAAACAAAGTGCGGATTCCACTTATAATTTGCTGATTCCACTTAAAGTTTGCGGATTCCGCTTACAGTTGTGCTCAATGTAACTATACACATGTTTTTCGTTTGTTTGTGGATTCCACAAACTGTTCTGGATTCCGCAATAACAGTTGCAGATTTCGCAAATTTGCCTAATTTTGAAGCAATTTTGATCGGTCGGTACAATATTTTAAGTATTTATTTGTGGAATCCAAAACAGCAAAGAAGATCAAAAAAATTAGCAAAATTGCAGATTCCGCGACAAATTTGATTTTGGCTTTTTGCGGAATCCAATCACAATGCACAGAATGCACAGTTTGGCCTCGCAAAGGAAGAATTTAACAGTTTTTGTAAACATCTTTTTATGTTATGGGATACTCATATGAGGGCATAGCTTGAATCTTTAATTTTATAATGAGTTTTTTAATATCAGAAGTTTTTAGGGCTGCTTAGAGATGATGTTCTTCGGCACACACTTCATCACTGATAAGTTTTGTTTGAACGGAAAACAAGGCGGCCTTAAAAACAACATTTTTCTTTTTTGACCCGAGAAACCTCTTTAAGCCTCATCCGTCTTACTTCAAATTGATTTAAGGTAAATGAACTGGCTCAAAAGAAAGCTATCTAGGACTAAACACACACTATCTGATTTTAATATGGGTCTGGGGGTGGCAAAAATTTTCAGAAGTATGGCTGACAAAAATTAAACTTTTCAAAGGTCAACCAAAACATTTAGGTTTCTTCCCTTGTAAGAGCAGTTTTGTCTTTTCAGGGATAAAGAGCATGCTGCAGAATTAAAAGAAATAAAAGAAACGCTCAGAATGGAGGTAACCAGCATTCAATCTCATTTACGCAGTAGCGTGCAGAGGGGGCGGGGTGGAACTCAAATCTGGTTGCCAATTTTTTCCAGAGATTCCCCCTTTGTTATAACTTTTCGACATCCATTTTAGGCTGACAAACCTCAAAATTTTTCTAAAGGCGCTTTCGGCACCAATATAACTAACTTTGAGGGGGGAGCGCGCACCAAAAAAAAACACAATTTTTTTTGTCAAAATTTTTCAAAAAGTGCCCAAAAACTTTTTTCCTGTTTTTTGAAAAATTTGCCTACGGCGCAAAAAGATTTTGACAAGAGTGGGTCCTCATAGTAATTTCAGAGAGCTCGGAAAATCAAATTGTTCAATCTAAAAAAAAGTTTTCATTTTCATTTTCTTTTTAAATTACCGCCACTGCATTTACGCTACATCAAAAGAGTTATATTATTCGTTGGTCGAACTCTTTACTAGCATCGGAGCAGGGGTGGATTTAGGGGGGGGGGGGGGTAGCGGACGCCTTTTTCTTAGGGATTCGACCCCCTGCCGACCGAAAGGAAAGGGTCCCCTTTGGTACTTTTTAAGAAATCAGTAGTATTGTATCGTGTCCCGGATCCTAAGGGGGGGTCCTTCCAAAGGGGGGTCTTCATGTATAGCAAAATCCTAGAAAAAAGGTCCCTATGTTTTTGGAGGACCCCTATCCTAGAATTTTGTAAATGAACATAATTTCACAGCCCTAAAGTAAAAGAGCCCCTCCTTAGGATCTTGTTAAGCTGAGCTTAACAACCGGGACCCGATACAATAAATCTTTTTCATTCCTTTTAAAGCGATCCCTTTTCCAGCGATAATTAAAATAAACCGTCGTAGTTTCCTGAACTTTTCTTTTCGTCCTAGTTTCATGTGAATATCATTTCCTGGCTTTTTCTTTTCGTCGACGATTTGTCATGCTAATAAAAGTTTGTTATTGAAAGTAAACCAAAGGATTTCACAGACTTGTTTGAACTAACACTTGGTTTGTGTCAACTAGTTTATTTGCCTGAAGCTATTGTTGATAAAACAGTGATTGATTTATAAAAGGACGAGCAGTGAAAATCATCTGAAAATATATGTTTCAAAATTTAATGTTTATTGTTTTGGTTTTCTTTGCACTGTTTTTAGATGGTTGTTCTTCTGAAGATTCAGATAAAATGAGTGGGTTGCTTATAGAGGGACGTTCACGGACTCGGCTATTAGAAGCTTCTTCTTTTTGCAGCTCTGATTCTGAGTGGGGCCGCTGTAAAAATTCTTAATTCGAAAGTTGAAATTCGGGCAAATGGTTATCTTTTTCATTGTATGAGTTGGCCTATTCGGTGTTCATGCAAAAGTCTTCTAAAAATGCGTTTTCTTCGGCAGTTTTATGGCCAAACGGATTCCGTCGAAAAAGAGAAAACGTTTTGAGTCGAATAGGGATCATGCAAATTTGTTTTGTTTCACTGTCATATTGGTGTTAACTTTCGAAACTATTTTATACTTGTACACTCCCATTGCTTTACCAGTGAATAATGTGTCCCTGAAGGTTTGGTGGACCAGATCTCTCTGTGCACTCGTTTTTATTCCTTCGACATTCAATTTTTGAGTGTCTTCTAAACAGAAGCAAAATTATTATCCTTTTCAACAATGCAGGGGATAGTTTTATTTCACTTCAGCAACTCAATTTATACCGAACAAACTTTCATTCATTTAACCAAAACAGAGCAGAAGACTCTAAATTATGATCAAAATAGGAAAAGAGAAGGAATATGATGTCAGATAAATCAACGTTTAGGCAACATTGTATAATATTGCCTAAATCAGCTGAATTCCCATAGTTTAATGCAACAAATTAAGGGGGGAGGTAGGTTGTTCGTGGTGGTGGTATTTTTGTTCTGTAAAAGGTAGGAAGGGGTTGGAAGGGTGGCTGAAGTTGGAATTTTTATTTACCATTAAGGACGACCGAATATAGTTCCGGTTTTAGGGCGATCAATTCTATGATCAGCTTCCCACCAGTCTCGTCTTTGAACATCAGCAAAACTTTTTTGTTGGTATGCTCAAACAAGAAATGGTCCTCATCATAATTTGAAAAGTCGAAATCAGCTTTAATTTTCTCTGAATCTCGGTACACATCGTCAGTTTGTATGGCATAAATGAAACTATCCATGTCGGAGTGAAGGAGTTCCAAGTTTAGATTCGGTTTCAATTTTCCATAACGAAACGGAAATATGAAACGCTTGAAAGGTCTAGGATGGTCACATCAACTATCATAGGTTTGTCCCCAATACTTTTGTTACTGAAAAGCTGATTGTGACTAACTGATCGTCAATGATTTGAAAGCTCTTCATTGTGCTATGAGTAGTTTTTTGTAAAATTTTTCTCTTATTCCATACAATCTCCAGCTTCTTTCTTACTAACTTAACCTCCATTGTCTTACCGAAAGCTGAGTCATTAATTCGCTTCTAAAATTCTCCTGGGATTTATTTACCGCGGTTTTGCGGATGCGCGTGTTGAGATCTACAAAGGGTGCCATACAGTGATTTTGGCGGAACTGAAGAACTTTTCCGAGCTGATTTTTTTTTCATTCCCAGCTCCTGGTATAATTTTGGGGTAAGGTAAAACAAAACATAACTTTCTTTGGATGCAAGGTCTGTAGAAGCTTCCCACTTTTGCCAGTGTGGAGATTCCCAATTTTCTTAACATGACTACTTGCTCGCTATTCATTGCACCGATGTCCACTACTTTACGAGAAGAAGCAAGGGGGTTGTCAGTTAAGAAGTCGTGAAGCTCTTCGGATATGGTCAAGCTGACTTCGACTATTTAACCCCACTCTGAGGATTTGCTGGTGTGCAGTATCTCTTCCAGAATTTTTTCAACTATTGAAAAAACGTTTGATGGCAAAGGGCAATGTTTCATTATCCCCCGTACAAATTGTTTGCATCAATATTAAGGATGTAGTCTGATGGTTCTGAGGGCGAAAAATTGTCGAGGTCTTTATTAATTGCTTTGTAAGTCAGCGCGCGTAAACCGACGACATGCCTCCTTGTCTCATTCGCTGCACAAGGTCCAGATGTTCACGTTCCGTTAAAAATTTCAGCCGGGCTTACAAATTTTTAGAAAGGCGTCCCCGAAAAGGTTACTTGTCGTGAAAAAAAAGCGCAATGCAGCCCGTAATCTTGATAATTTGATGTAAGTATTAGCTTTTCTGTAATCATGTACAAGTCATGGTAATCACCAAGTGACCCACACTTCAGTTCGGTGGAAGTTTTTAGGGCATGATTGTACTCGCTTCTTGTAACACTCACATCCCCTCCTGTTAGAATACTTTTCCATATTGCTCGCGAGGGAAGTCGAGTTTCTCGGATTTTTTCGAACAAGTTGAAATATGAGTAGGGATGTGCCCTTTCTGTTTCGACAAACTGACTTTTCAGTGGAGTGGCCGAGTTTTTCAAAATAGTTCTCCAGGAGAAAAAACTGTTCGTCGGGCAAATTTTCCAGTGGCGCTAGCTTAAATTTAAACGAATCGATGAATCTCAGATTTTCGTTGAGTTTTTTCTTTTTCCATTTTGTCCGTGTAGGTTTTTTTATATAATTGTCGAACAGATTGTTAAGGATATAAAATTTTCTTCGCATGCGGGTAATACAGAAAAAATGTTTTTTGAATTGCTTTTTACCTGCGCTTTATTTATAAATGTAAGTCATGTTTTGACAAAGTATGAGCTACTACTGGGATGTAATTTGTTGTTTTTCTAGCAACGTTACACACATTATGTGCCCAACCCAGGAATTGTCCAACTCGCATAACCAACAAACCAAAGCATCTTCCCGTTCCTGGTCTGTTATACCGGCGAAAGTGTAATATTTCGTTTTTTCTACGCAAAGTTGTCTCGCTAATGACTCAAGGGAGCTAATTTGCTCTTCCATCATATTCGGTCCTCTTTTAAGCTCAAACTTTAACAGGTCTTTTTTCCCAAATTTGATTACTGCTAATGCGTTGCCGCAAGGTTGATGGATTTCAATTGTTTGCGTGCTAGATTTTTGCGGATCAGGTTGCGGTCCGTATACTGCTAGGAGCAGTGCCTGCAAATCAAAGTAGACTATTCTTGGTACGTACCAACGAGCTGTTAAGTTTTTGAACCTGTGGTCATTTTTTCCAGGCTTGGGCATTGCTATGACGACATCTTCGTCTTGGTAGCATAGTTCTTGATGTCTTCTCAGATAGTCGAAAGAAGCGCATGTGTGGAAACATTTACGGCAAATCTCAGATTGGAATCGGTGCACTTTGTGCCGCACGTACTCGACCAGTTTCTGGAGATCACTTTTTAACAGATAGTGATTTTTTTATCCATCTGTCAGCAGCAACAAGTCCACAACCAGGCTAGTAGTGAATCTGCTCGACATTTTTATGGACAACAATTTGGCATCGTTGAACCTGGACAGAAAAATGAAAATTTTATCTTGTTTTGACGTTAAACTTAAAGCGAGTTCGAATAGGCGAAGAGAATTTTTGAGGGGGTAAACATTTGGCGTACCAAAAGACGTTGATTTGACTTTTATTCAGTCTTTCAAATCTGTCCATATCCGTCAGACCCATTGGCATTTCGATTTCCCTATTGATTTTCACAGTTCGAACGATAATCCATCCGCTACCATGAGAAGAGAACGAGTTTACTTGGTTGACCAAATGTTCGATCAGTTCCAAGTATTGATCCACAGCTATTCCCTCGAAGTACACTGTTAATGTATTAGTGTTTTGAAATAGCCTGATCCTTTCGAAGTTTCCAGTGTCACCGTCTTGCACAGTAAGAACTTCGTTCATCTCCACTTCCACATGGAATTGCACTTTGTTCGGGCCCTCTTTGACCCTTTCCAGTATGAGAGCATCTATTTCCTCCTTGTTTTGCATCATGACTTGCAGCAAATCCATTTTGTTTTTACCAAGTTTGAGATTGTAACGGCGCAATATTCCTCTGAACGAGCTTTCTGTCGGGGCAGCGGAAGAACTCGTCTCAATGCCATCCCCAACTGGCAATGCGTGCTTCTTCAGCAACTGTTTTTGATAGCTTTCCGCGCTGAAAAAAATTGTATGGAGGATGTTTTTGCAAAAGAACCTGTTCGAAGATTGATAGTAGCAATGAGCATAAGTGAAGCATAATTGAGTACTAATAGGACAAAACCTTTTCATAACCAGAAGTTTGGGTTGAATGATATCATTGTGTACAGAAACGTTTGACCCATTGCCGGAACTCTCATCTCAATATCAGACAAAAAATAAGAGTTTTTTACAAAACGCTTGAGGGTTTTGATTTTGTTTTGAACACTGGTCATGGAATCAATATCGCTAATTATGATAATCATTATATTATGGCTTTTGATCTCACGTCTAATCAGGAGGCTTCACACAATTTTGTTCATCCTGTATTGACCAATTGCACTATTTCGGTCGAACTCAAATTTGATGCAGGTCTCGGTAATAACGTCGAGTTTTTGTTTATGGGAGAGCGTGTATCAACAGTTTATGTGCGTTCAGATAGAAAAAATACCAAAATTACTCTCATGACCTAAGCTAGACATGAATAATCTTCAAATGATGGAATTTAATAACCGTTGTAAGCATTTAGAATATCGCTTTAGAGGTGTTTTTCCAGTAGATTTTCCATGCTCTTCAGTACTGAAAAACGATAATACGTTCATGATTATGAATGTTTCACCATCGTATCAACCTGGAACCCATTGGTGCTTTTTGCTCAAGCTGAACGACAGATATACTTCGCAGATCCTCTAGGTAAAATAATATGATTATACCCTCGTGTACAAAAATATGCGACGTACAGTTCACGAGGGAAATCAACTGCTGATGAAAAAACCAATATAGTTAGCTGACCCAGTATTATGCGGACTTTATTTTATTTATGTTACTCAAGTTATAATTACAAACAGATTACCATTAGCTTTCAAACCTAATGATCATTATTTGATAAGATTTGCTAAACAATTTAAAGATGATTTTGTGAACATTATGAATTGATTTTTCAAAATTTTTTCTTAATAACAACAGGTTTTCTTTTTCTACAAGTCTATGTGAACCACAAAAATGTTTCATATCAATTCCTTCGAAGTATTAAGGCATGGTCATTTGGTTTACGGCATGGCCTTCCGATTGAATAAAAACCTTTGTTTAA